AAACATAGATCCAAGGTTTATAGGGTTGCATGTACACCATAGGAGTGTTAGAATGGTCAAAACCCAACAAATATATCCAATGGGCCGGCCTTGGTGCCTTAGACCCCTTAGTATAGTGAGGATAACTCACCTTGCAACTGTCGTCTGAAACTAGAAAGCTCAACTCACGGATCACCAACACGAACTCCACCACCTATAGTTACCATAAAACCCTTTTTCATAAATCTCTAAATTACCAGGATACCCTTAGAAGTCAACTGGTCAACCCTTGGTCCAAGTCAAAGTCATTAGTCCATGTTGACTCGACTTGTCGAGTGCAGTTCACCGACTCGTCGAGTCCTTCCTGAACTCGAGAAGTCGTGAAATACTTGATTGGCTCGTCGAGTTCCCTTTTAACTCGTCGAGTTCATACGTGTCCAAGAATTGGGAGAACCCTAGCCGACTCGCCGAGTTCAAGGCAATCTTCAACGGACTCGCCGAGTTGTTCATCAACTCGTCGAGTTCATGGCCATCTTCAACGGGCTCGCCGAGTCCTTGCAGACCTTTACCCATGCAGACGCTTTTTAAGCCATGGCAAGGTTCCAGATTACAAATCCAAGCTTCTAGGGCATGTTTATCACGTAAAGTCGCAAACTTTACGTGCATGCAAAGCTTTAAGACTCTTAAATGGCAAAACTAAGCTTGCAATGAAGTCTCACACTTGAGGGAAGGCTCCTACTAGGCAATGCTGATGACTTTATGGATCTAGAGATCAAAGGGAGTCCAGATCTGAAGTTACAACTTCAGATCTTAGCTTAAACATGGGGAGCCTTTCATAAAACCCATCCAAAAGAGGTTAAAAGAGAGATGAGCTAAAGGAACAACTTAATACCTTCCAGAGAGTGACAACTGATGAATCTATTAGCTCCCCACGAGTTCCTAGCCTTGATTTCCTTGCTTCCCCAAGTGTTTCCTTCTCCAAAGTTCCTCCTCCAAGCTTGAACACACCAAAGAACACACACACACGATTTAGGGTTTGAGAGGGACAAGAAGCAGTAAAGGGGAGGCTGGGGGAGGCTAATGATCCTTTAAATAGGGTGCAAAACCCCGAGATTTAGGGTTTCATCTGCCAGCTCCTACTCGTCGAGCCCCTTCTTGGACTCGGCGAGTACGTCATTAAAATACGTGGACCAACCCACTGCTACTCGACGAGTAGGGAAATCAACTCGTCGAGTAGCCCTTGAAATCAAGAATTCACACATTAAATCAATACCTGAGAATCGGGGCGTTACATCCGACATCCATTCAGTTGTAGCAGCCATTTGAAGGTAAAAATCGATTACCTTGATCACTTGTTATTAGATCTCTCTGTTAGAGAGTTTATGGTCATTTCTAGCTTCTTTTTTAGTCATTATTGATTTTGATCATGCCTTGAAGCTAAGACTTCAGATCTGGACACTATTAGGCCCTTTAGGCCTAAATACTAAAACTTTATCAAGCTTTGTCCAATCTTCATCCCTTAAACCCCTTGTTGAGCCTTGTTTTGGTAAAGTTAGTCCCTAAATGTCATGCATGGACGTAAAGCTTGTAGCTTTACATGGTATCTCAGCCCTAGGAGTCTAGATCTAGAGTTTGGGGCCTTAGTCTCGCTTAAAAGCGTCTGAATGAGAGAAAGGGCTGAAGGAACTCGACGAGTTGGTTAGCCAACTCGACGAGTTGGTTAGGGTTTGCCCCGATATTCTAGACACTATGCAAACTCGACGAGTTGGTGAGACAACTCGGCGAGTTGACTCGAATTTTCCCGATTTTCTGAGAACAGA